CGCTTGGCTTTCCTTCCTTTCTTCCTTCCTCTTTGACTAGGTCTCACTACAGAGACCATGCTGTCCCAGACTCAGACATTTGTCTGCCTCTACCTCCCCAGCGCTGGGGATTAGAGGCTGCTTTTCTCTTTTAATGAGAACACTGCCTTAGTTTCTGTCAGTATTTAGCCACACAGGAACTCAGTCATCAAATCCCACATTTAAAGAGAGGCCACTGGCGTTTATTTTTGTCTCATCCAGTGTCCCTGGTTGATCTGCCCATAAACACAATGGGAAGTGGTTTAGTGATGATTGCTAAAAAGGGAAATCCATTCCTGCTCCATAGCAAGAATTGCAACATTTTCCTGACCACAGAACCTTGAAAGGACCACAAACCAAAAAATCGGGCTTCGTCCCTGCAGGCATCGATCTTGGGGTGGTTTAAAGCCGGGCCTGCAGTTTCTGCAGCTCCAGAGGATGAGGCAGGAGGATCCCGGAGCCCAGGAATCTGAGGCCAGCCTGCCCAACAAAGATTCCATCTCTTTTAGAACATAATAAAAAATATGTTTGAAAAGAATGGAGTGGAGGTGGTATTTCTTTGAGTTCCTTCTGGAAACTTCACTTATTAAATAAGGAAAGGAGAAGAGAATTCATTGACACAGAAGACAGGGGTAGCCAGAAACTAAATTCGGCTCCTGGTTTATGGTGCCAAGTGTCCAATGGCCTGTTTGTCTCTTCTCTACCAGAAAACAGGCTCACAGAAACTCCATTCCCAGAACTCAGGAGGCTAAGGCAGGAAGACAGAGCATTCGAGATCATGGAGTGAGACTGCCTCAAAAAATAAACTTCAGCCACGCGGTGGTGATGCACGCCTTTAGTCCCTGCACTCGGGAGGCAGAGGCAGGCAGATCTCTGAGTTCGAAGCCAGCCTGGTCTATAGAGTGAGTTCCAGGACAGCCAGGGCTACTCAGAGAAACCCTGTTGGGTTGGGGATTTAGCTCAGTGGTAGAGCGCTTGCCTAGCAAGTGCAAGGCCCCGGGTTCGGTCCTCAGCTCTGGAAAAAAAAAAGAAAAGGAAAGAAAAGAAAAGAAACCCTGTCTCAAAACATTTTAAAAAACTAATTAATTAATTAATTAGATTAAATAAATAAAAAGACCTCCAACTCTCTCTGGGACATGACAGAGGCAGAATCTGATCCTACTGAAGGGGAACCCCAAAGTCCTTCGGGTGTTTAAAAGTACCACACTTAGTCACAGCCCTCTAGCATCATCTTCTAAGAAACCTGGAGGGCAAATGCTAAAGAAGTCCCACATTCAGGTGAGCTCTCCTGGAGAAGAGGTGCACCCTGGGGGGAAAAAATGTGAAGGAAAAGAGCCAGGAGGTGAGGTGGGACTCAAGAGCACGGGACTCAGACTCGTGGGCCCTGGGCTTGGGGCAGCGGCCTCCCATGCAGGTCAGACTCTGTGGGTAAAGATGACTAGGTAGATAGGTATCACAGCTGCTCCACTGGGAACACAAACCAATACTGTGGAAAACAGTGTTCTCAGAAGCATGTGAAACCGTCTCTTGCCTTTGCTCAGGCCTGTCAGACCACCTACAAAGAAATGCCTTGTGCTCATCATAATTAGCAGGTCTGCTGAAGGCATCTCACTAAATCAGATGGAATGTCTCTGAAGCTGACTACTGAGGCTTGAAAACATTGGCTCCCTCCTCTTCTGTGAAAGATCATCCACACGAAGGTGCCACAGACATGCTGTTTCCTTTGGATGTCCTCTGCCCTCAGACTCCCTACCAAAGAGAACTGGGTTTCTACTGAGGCCCGTGGATTCTGTTGTGGTTTTTGTTTCTCTGAATTGAAGTCCCCACACTGAGAGTCTGAGCTACATTAGCTTGTTTCTCTTTTTCTTTTTTATTAAAAAAAAAAAAAGTGTGTGTGTGTGTGTGTGTATGTATATATGTATATATATATTTTATGTGTATGAGTGTTTTGTCTGCATGCACCACAAGTGTGCCTGGTGCCTGCAGAGGCCAGAAGAGGGCATCCAATCCCCTGGAACTGGAGTTAGAGTTTGTAAGCTCTGTGTGGGTGCTGAGACTCAAACCAGGGCAGGTCTTAACCACTGAGCCATCTCTCCAGTCCCAAGATACTGGCCTTTCACTTAACAGTCCCAGCACTTTGGAGGCACTTGTGTGCCTTTGAGGTCAATCTTACTGTTTGCTATTTTGTACCAAGAACAGAGAGGTGAATGGCTGGTCCAGGATGTAAAATCTGGAGATAGAAAAGATGGGGTTTCAACCCAGCTCTTAAACCTCTCCTAGCTCCTGCCTTGGTCCTAGCTTTCCAAACGGAAAGCACCTTGGGAGCTGGTCCCTACGCCTTCCATGCGAACGGAGGGGCCTCCCCCTGTGCTGACTGTCCCCTAGCAGACAGGGGGGTGCTTTGGGGGCGAGTGCTGCAGCTTGCCATACCTCGGGGATGAGCTGGAAGAGGGCGTTGGAGTAGAGGGTTCCAATCGCCAAGGCTATGAAGTAGAGCAGCAGCCTCTTGTAAAAAGTCTTCTTCATGAAGGGCACCACGCTGGCCCCCATGAGGGAGCAGAGGGAGATGACGGTAACGCAGAGGAGACCGTACCCCCATACTGCCAGCCCACCCAGGACAGGGAGCAAGGCAACCACCGTTAGGGGGAAAGGAGGTGGAGAGGAGAGTTGTGGGTATTAACGAAGGAACCCGAAAAGAAAAACCAGAGACAAGTAGGGAGGGAGAGAGAAACAGGAAACTTGTTAGTGATTCGAGCCTGATGCAATTTCCTTCAATCATTGCAGGAGGGTATGAGGAGGAATTTGAGGTGGCCTTGGAACCCTGTGACTACTGTCCCTGCTCCTGAGGTGGCTGGGTCATACCCACCAGCTGGTGTGACTGGCAAACAGGGCGGGATGTGGCCTCATCACACACACCGCGTGCCCAGGACCAGCACAGACTGTGAACTCAAGGTCTTTTACCAGGGCACGAGGGCAAATGGGAAGAAGATGTTTGGGGTGTCGCTGACTTTGCTTCTGCATACTGAAGCCACGTCGCGGAGGCACACGTGACGCTGCCCACGGATGGGGTGGTCTGGGGAAGGTGTAACAAAGTCACGTGCAGGGCGGGACAGGTAAGGCTTGGTGCCCATCAGGTGTGGCTTCTGAACAGTCGTGTCTGTCTGTTTCTATGTGCTCTGGGAGGGATCCGGTGTAGAAAGCGGAGTTCCAAGGCCAACCCATCATCGAAATCTATTTCAAAGGCATTTTCCAAAGGTGACACATTCTGGGTTGTGAGCTCAGCCCTCAGGAGGGGGCAGCACAAAACCGTACCAGGATGGCAACCCTCGTGCGACCCGAAGGGCGCAACCCGGACAGTGGCAATAGTGCCGGCCGAACGGGCAATGAATCGTGTCACTTCAAATCCTTAAAAACAATTAGTAAATTCAATGGCTGGAGCTGAAAAAAAATAGCCCAAGATGAGGTCTCCCATGGGAAGAACTTCCTAGGTCCACGTCAAGTGTTGAAACTGTTAAGGGAGCTGACCTTAATTCAGTGCTTCCCTCGTGTAGAAGGAGGAGGTGGGTGGGGCATGACACCTCATAGGGAAGCTTTCCTGGGTCAGTCTCTCGGTTGAGGAGAGCTGGGAAGCCAATGACATGAGTTTTTATGAACGCCTTCACGCCACCAAAGGGGTCAACCAGGTAGCTACATACTAGTTCTCCAAGAGTAGCATGTGACTGGGCTGAAAAAGGGCAGACTGTCAACTTGGGTCTCATTTTTGCAGCTCCTCAGTGATGACAATTAACAAAACAAAATTACTGGACATTTAAAAACAGTGGGTGAGTTACCAGGAAGTCAGACCTGTCAGGGAAAGATCAAGATGCAAGGTACCAACGATTGAGCTTCCCTCTCGTGTATCGCATTTATTTTGGTGGGAACAACATATTTGCTAAGTTGCCCAAAAGCTGTGATCCTCCTGCCTCAGATTTCCAAGTGCTGCCACAGCTGCCTTGATTAAAAATCGGGGCTCACGCTTTTGAGGCCAGTTCTCCACACCGCCGCTGTAACCCCCGCTTCCTCCCGCCTCATTTCTCGTGGACGATCAAATGGAGTCCACATATGAGCAACCCCCACGATTTCCCTTAGGATACAGGGCCTGCCTTGGACACCGCCCCCCACGAACTGCAACTTTCCTTTGGATGCCTATAAATGGGGGTTCTGGTGTGCAGCCAAAGGAGATTCCCCAAGAGGGGGGGCACAAATGTTAAGAACCTTGCATCCGATGTCACCCCGAAGAGGCCAGAGGCCAACCTGAGTGAGCAGAGGAAGGAGAGAAGGTATTGGACCCCCTGATATGAACAGTAGATTCATTGTCTGGGGCGGCAGTTATTGGGAGCCTTAGAGCACAGAGGGAGGATGTCAGCCAGAGGAGGGCTCGGCTGGGGCGGCCCGGGAAAGGTGAACGCGCGTCTGTTCTACTGCACCTCTGGGATGAGCTGGAAGAGTGCGTTAGAGAGCAGCGTTCCAATGGACAGGGCGATGAAGTAAGTGAGCACACGGCTGAAAAACGCTTTCTCCGTGCACGGCAGGACCAGGACTCCCAGGAGAGAGGCCAGGTTAATCAGTGAGACACTGAGGAACCCAAAGCCCCACACTGCGGAGGAACAAGAAACAGACGAGGGCCTCCATTACTGAGGGCGGGCGCTTCTGCTGCTGAGCGTGATCTAGGCACATAGAGGTCCAGCAGCCCCTCAGGAAATGCTTGGTGACTCCATCTCTTGCTAGGGAAGCCTCAGAAAAACAGTGTCAAGGTTCCTATTTTACAGGAAGAGACTCAACATGGAGGCATGTATACCATGGCTTAGACAGCACATGTACTTATGACGGCAACACGTTAGGTCTGGTAGCTCTTGCTGGCTATATAGGACTTCTGAAAGGCACCCAAGGACTCAGACAGGGTGAATCCACTCTAGCTAGAGGGGCGGTACTAGGAGGTGGGGATAATGAAGTAGCCAAGGGAGGTCATAAAGGTTGGCACTCTTACAGTGTAATGAAAACAAAGAGTTAAAAAAAAAAGCATATTCACATGCTGGCCAGGGCCCAATGCCCTGTGTTCACCAGCCAGCCCACCCAGGGTCTGGTGATGAACTGCTGGAACAGTCTGGTGCACGTGTCAATTATCCAAATCTACCCTCACTCCGCTCCCCCTCTCTTCCCTACTTACCTTCAACGGCGCTAGGCTTCCCCTCCTCTGTCTGCTCGTTTTCCTCGTTCTCCTGGTTTTCTGAGGTGCAAGCCCTGGAGTCCAACTGCTGGAGAATGGTGGGGCAGAACTCCCGAAACTCACTCATCCCGATCTGAGACCGCTCACTGAAATTGTGGGCAGCAAAGAGGTCTCCCGAGCTAAAGCACTGAAACCAGAGGAAGAGGCGGGAGGGCTCTTAGAACCTAAAAGTCGCACTGGGCCCTCTGAGGAATAAAGAGAAAAAAACGGACGCGGCCAAACGGCAGAGACTCTGGAGACGCATCTCCAGGGTCAGAGGAGTCAGGAATCCCTGCACTTGAAAAGGTCAGCCACCAACATGCTTAGTACACACAGCTGAAAATGGACGCAGGAAGAGGTTTGGGGAACATTCAGATCCCCAGGGGGACCTTAATTAACCTCAGCTACTTGGGTGGCTGAGGCCGGAGAACTGCAGCTTCAAAGGATGTCTGGGCTACAAAGCAAATTCAAAGCCGGCCTGAGCAGCTCAGCAAGACCCTCGCTCTAAGCGAAGAGAGAATACAATCAAAAGAGGTCGGGGGATGTAATTCAGGCATGGCGTGTCTGCCCAGCGTACGCCTGGAAGGTCCAGGTCCAGTCCTACTGGGAGCGGGGTGGCAGTGGAAGACACGCTCCCAATCACGTGACCAGGGTGTGCGTTCAGAAAAAACTGGATTCTATCTGCAAACCTGATGTCAAAATCTGGCTGCACGTTACAACAGCTCGGGGGACTATTGTGCTAAAATGCAAATTCTAGAAACTTCTGCTGGAGTATGGACGTGTGCTGGCTAGCAGTCACAGGCCCCCGCAGTGACCTTGGGGAGTCTTGTATATCATGGGAAATTGAACTTGAGAGCTCTCCCCACGCCCTCTCTCTGTGCATTCGTGCGTGCGTGCACATGATGTGCACACGTATTCAAGAGGCCGGGAGAGGACACGGGGTGTCCTATCCTTCTAGTCTCCCTACCTTACTCCCTCGAGACAGTGTCTCTCATTGAACCTGGAGCTAGGCTGGCAGCCAGCGGAAAACAGCACTGCCATTACAGATATTTCACCTGGGTGCTGGGCATTCAAACTCGGGTCCTCAAGCTTTCAAAGCAGGGGCTCTTACTACTGAAACACGTCCTGAGCCCACACTACCGTTTTTTACTAATTGCTCTTTATTCACGTAAACCACAATCCTTTCTCTGCCCGTGCTTTTATCAGGGTCTACCCATGAGAGCCAGCCCTCTGGGAATGCCTGCAATACAGGTTTTTTAGACCGATAAAGTCTAAGTCCCGCACTCTGTTGACCCCAGAATACTGCTGCAGACCCTAAGGCCCATGTCCAAGTCCCCGATGGCAGGCCTGCCTCTTAACCCACTGCCCACGTGGCACCCTCGGCCTCCCGGGTGATGCTGACACTGGCCACACTTGAGCAGCTCTGCGTGCATGCTACACGGTGCCCTGTCCACTTTCTCCTTTCAAGCCCCAGCCTCTTCATCCTTCTGGGTGTGGCTTCAGCATGCCTCCGGCACAAACCCTCAACCATGCTGGCACCTTCACTTCTCACAGACGAACCCCGTAATTACAGCGAGGCCCACAAAATGTGGTACTCTGCTTTCATTCCCGCTAGCTGAGCTCCTCCCTAAAGCATGGTAGGCAGGTCCTCTGCAGAAGCAGCCAGCGCTCTTAACCACTGAGCTCCCTGACGGTGACTTGTGTTTCTCCACTTCCCACAATGCTCGGGGAGGAGCAGAACAGAAGATTAGGACTTGGCTGGCTGACTCCTACTGGGCTGCCACCAATAGCCCCGATTCCAAGTAGCTGTGATAATAACGGAAGAACACAGAACCAAGGGCTAAAAGCCCCAGGTTTTAGCGAAAACTAGAGCCGAGATCAGTAAAATCTGAGTCTCAGCCCCTATCCCAGGAACCCTCATGAAGCCACTCCCCAGAAAAACAATTCCTCCTGCATCTGAGCGGACTGTGAGGCGCATCTGGCGTGGTGTGTGAATAGCAAACTCTACTGCCTGCGCTGTCCTGGAAGCCATGGTTTGCGAGCAGTGAGTGACCCAGGCGCGGCAGGAAACTAACAGGCAGGTAGGTGGTCAGGAGGCCTCACTGGACTTGCAGAATGTGTCGATCCCAACAAAGGTGGCAGCTGACCGCCACCGAGGCCTACCCGACAGAGAGGAGCCTTACCGTGGAGAGGTTCCTGTGTCCTTCCCTGGGTTGGGTAGCATTATCCCGGCCTACTCCCACATCCAGGTGGTTGAGCAAGGCCTTCAGCTGTGGCAGGGTAAGGCTGTCATTCTCCCCATAGCGGTTCATGAGATTTTCCAGGAAAGAGGTGGCGCTGAGGGCTGGCATGGCAGCGGAGGAGGCGTGAGTCTGGGGGACCATCCTCCATATACCAAACAGCACCAAGAGGAGGCAGCCAGGGAGGGCTGGGTGCAGGGGCTTCATGGTGACCAAGTACACCTAGAAGAACACAAAGCCAGGTGAGGGCAAGGTCTCTATCTCTTCCCCCAACACCCAAGTGACTGCCAACTCACCACCCCCGTGCCAAGGACAAGGGTCCCCTTCCCTCAGACTCTGAGTAGGACAAGCATCTAAGTGTGACGTAGTCTCCCTCTCCACCTGCTCCACCTGGCTTTGGAGAAATCCTTTTGAAGGGGTAAAACGACAAGAAAAGGGACATGCTGGGCATTGGGGTCCGTGCCTCCCAGCATGGAGGAGGAAGGGGCAGGAGGATTAGGAGGAGTTCAAGGCCATTTTCAGCTACACCGTGAACTTGGACTATAGAAGAACCTGTTCCCCCAAAAAGGGAGATGTAGGGATGGAGAGCTTTCTTTCTTCAGATGCCCATACTCCTGTAAGAAACCCTGATAAAACTGAGTACACACACACACACACACACACACACACACACACACACCCCAAATGGAGAAAGGGGACTAGTTGGGAAGAGAAAGGGATTCAGTGGGAATGAGACAAGAGAGGGTCCTAAAGAGTGAATAAGATCAGAATGCATTATATACATATATAAAAATGTCATAATGAAACCCATTACTGTGCGTAATTGCGTACAGTAATGGGTTTCATTATGCTAATAAAAATATTGTGCTAATAAAAATTTATTATTATTTTATGTGTTTGGGTATTTTGGCTGCATCTCTGCCTATGTACCATGTGCATACCTTGGTGTCTCCAGAGACCAGAGGAGGGCATCATGTCCCCTGGCACTAGAGTTATGGACAGTTGTGGGCCACCATGTGGGTGCTGGGTCCTCTGTAAGAGAAGCCAGTGTTCTTAACCACCGAGCTGTCTCTCCAGCCCCTAATAAAAAGTTTCAAAAGGAAGAAAAACAGCCAGGTGGTGATGGCACATGCCTTTAATCCCAACACTCAAGAGGGAGAGGAAGGCAGATCTCTATGAGTTCGAGGCCAACCTGGTCTACAAAGCGAGTTTTAGGACAGACAGGGCTACACAGAGAAACCCTTCTCAAAAAACAAAACAAAACAAAACAAAACAAAGACCCAACAGCAAAAACCTAAAAGAAAAAAAAAAAAACAGAAAAAAGAAAACAGAAGAAATGCTTATCATATCATCTCTGTCTAATACTGAGAACACATATTCGAAAGCCCAAGCTGGGGATGGCAGCACATCCCTACAATCCCAGCACTCAGCAGGCCAAGGCAGGCCAGTCACAAGTCCGGGCTACACAGTGAAACATCATTAAGACAGTGCAGCAAACTTTACAGCTCTGTAGAAGAATGTTTCCCTAAGGTGCAAAAAAAAAAAAAAAAAAAAGCCCTGGTTCTACATCCAGAACTGCAAAATACAACACAAAGACTTCATGTTCGAGGGACCAAATCACAGAATTTATCTTCTTTCTAGAATTTACGTATTTCAGTCTTCCAGAATTTACTCTAATCAATGCAATTTTAAAAATAATAGTAAGCAGCAGCTAGGGGCTGGACAGATGGCTTAGTGGTTTGGAGCACTTGCTGATCTTGCAGGTGATCAGGGGTCAGTCCTCAGTACTCACAGGTCAGCTTGAGCCATCTGTGACTCCAGTTCCAGGGGATCTGGAGCCCTCTTCTGGTTTCCATGGGCTTACACTCAGTGTACTTAACATACATGCAAGCAAACATCTATACACATAAAATAAATAACCCTCACAGAGATCCACCTGCCTCTGCCTTCCTCCCAAGTGCGGGGACTAAAGGTGTGCGCCACCACCGTCCGGCTATAATATCCAATTTTAAAGCAGAATTACTTCATACAGTTAAAAAACTTCACAAGGAACAAAGAAATACGAGAACTGGTTATGATTTTCCTGTTAATCATTTACTTCCCTTAGTCCAGTTATACCTTAATTAGTGACATCAGCACATTAGGAACGCCAGCCAGCCCAGCAGAAGTCTATCACTGTGATGGTCTCCTCCCTGGGGAGGTGGAATCCAGCACCAAATGCTTCACCACATACCGCTCCACCTCTGTCTAAAGGAACAGTGTCTCCATGTCTAAAGGAACAGTATCTCCATGTCTCTCCATGTCTAAAGGAACAGTATCTCCATGTCTAAAGGAACAGTATCTCCATGTCTAGAGGAACAGCATCTCCATGTCTAAAGGAACAGCATCTCCATGTCTAGAGGAACAGCATCTCCATGTCTAGAGGAACAGCATCTCCATGTCTAAAGGAACAGCATCTCCATGTCTAGAGGAGCGGCGTCTCCATGGCTAAGAAACAGGCCTGCCTGAACCCTGCCCCTGCTGTTTGAATTACCACACCGTTGCTTACAAGAGAAAAGGCATTAGGCAAGTCACTCAACCTCAACTACCTCCATTTTCTCATCTGTAAAGGCAGTACCCATCTCACAGGATGACCGACCCTCAAGATTTTAGGGCTAAAGTGATGGCGAGGCCCTTGTCACTAATTACCTGAACTAAGACACTGGAAATCTGGCTCTACCCGTTCAGACTGACCTGAATTGCACAGTGAGACGAAAGGAAGAAAGGAGGAAGGCAGAAGAAGAAGGGAGATGACCACCCCTGGAGAAAGGCGAGGGACTGCAGCTCAGCCGTAGAGCACGGGCCTCACACGTACAAGGCCCTGGACGGGATCCCTAACACTGGAAAAAGAAGAGAGGCTGGGTGTGGTTGTGCACACCTTTAATCCCTGGGGAGGCAGGTAGAGGTAGATGGATCTCTGTGAGTTCGAGGCCAGCCTGGTCTACATCGTGAGTTCTAGGACAGCCAGAGCAAATAGTGAGACTCTGCCTGGGGGGGCGGGGGGGGCCGGGGAGACACAGAGAGAGAGAGAACAAAAATCTGGCTATAATCATTCAAAGATAAGACTGCTTTGCCAAATTTGATTTTCAGTTCAAACATGAAGCTTTAACGAAACTGTTCTGAGACCCTGTAATTGCCTTTACATCAACTAAGACTCACAACTCCTGTACCCTGTCAGTCAGTCACATAAGCCACAACACACCTGAGGGTACTCTGGCTTTAGACCCCACACATGGGACCCCAAAGCTGGGGACAAAAAGAACGTCATTCTTCAGTCGGGAGGCAGAAGCAGATTTCTCTGACCTCGAGGCCAGCCTGCTCTATATAGCAAGTTCCAGGTAGCCAGGGCTACAAAGTAAGACTCTGTCTGAAATAAGTTAAGTAAACAAACAAATAATTTTCTAAGGGTTGCTCTTTGGTGGAATATACTTTCAGCCATACAACAGGAAGGACCAGACAAGGGCAAAAAAAAGGCAGTCTGCAAAATGGTTTATTTTCCAACCAATACTCTGGGTTCAAAACCAAGAACCAGGTTAATCTATGCTTTGTGGAGTGGATCTTAGGCAAAAATTAGACTAAAACCCACTTCAAAAGAAGTCGTTTGACTGCCATGGTAGCATATGCCCACACTCCCAGGAGTGAGGAGTTAAGGCCCAGCCTCAGCTACACAGTGAGTTCAAGGCCAGCCTGGGCTACAAGAGACCCTCTCTCAACAAAGAAAAATGGAGGGAGGAGTGGAGACTGGCTATCCAGCCAGCTGGCCGTGAACGTCTGTGCTCTTTGCTGTCAGCACGAGGGCTGGGCGTGCAAGGGGCAGAGGTCTAAGCAGGACCTAGTTAAAGGAGCCGTGGTGAGCAGCAGTTAGTCAGCCTTTTCGCAGGGCAGATCTTGTTCTGCCTCTGACATTGACTCACTGCTCCCTTTCAAAGAAGCTAGGGAAGGTATCCCTGCTTAACAGATAAGGGGGCTGGGATCAGGAGCCTCGCAAATAGATCCAGTGGCAGCCAAGTCAGGAACTGAATTTTTCATGGACCGAAGTCAGGTCTGAAAGACATCCAAGCCCTGGCATCCAGTGGGGGCCCCCGGCCGAAGGCCGGGGGTTTTTTGCCTTGGCTGCCTTGGGGATTGCGGGACTTACTTTTGCGGGCGGTTGCCCGGGGCCTTGTCGGTTTCCCGTTGGGGCCCTTGGTTCCGGGTTGGGGTTGCCTTGAGGTTTGGGGGGGTGGACAGCCGGGGTGCTGTCGAGGCAAGGCTGTCTTACAGGGCTCCTGCTGTAGAATCCTCGAGGAGAGCCCTGTTCCTACTTCAAATACCTTTCTCAATTTTCCCTTCATTCAGCAACTTCAAAACACGACTAAAAAAGGAACAAAAGCCCTTCAAATGTGGGCGCCACGGGGTGATTTTACTTTGGCAGCTCCACCTGGATGGGCATTCAGGTAGAGGTTGGCATTTACGATGGATTGGTTTTCGGGTGGCCTAGTGGCCCCTTGATGCCTCCCATGGCTTTGAGGGCATCCTGCAATGCTAGACAACTGGCACCTCCTGGATGTGCCCTAACACAAGCCTGGGGCTACCCGGGTTTCTCCAGGAAACCTCTTCTCTCTCCCTCTGCTGGCACGGCGGGCGGCTCCCTTCTCTAGAAAACACTGCTTTGGGCTTTGCAGACGAGACAGTGTCAGGGCTCTGGGGTGCAGGCAGGTCAGTCCCTGCAGTGAGCAGAGGTCTGTCACCTGGCCCAACCCTTGAGCTCATCTCTCCGGGAGTAAGGGAGTCTAAGCACAAGAGGGGCCCTCAGGAGTCCTTGTCCGGAGTTCTAGGAACTGCTGAGGGCGCTCCAAACTCCAGTGACCCTGGCCTTTGGGTAAGCATGAAGGGCGCTTTCTGCTCCAGCAGAGCTCTTGGTTGCCCCCCCCCACACACACCTGTAAGGGGAAAAGTGTTTCTAGAAGACTCTTTGAAATCAGCCAGGTATGGTGGCTCACATTTGTAGTCTGAGTACTTGGGAGGCAGGAGGATTGCTACTGGATCTACACAACTGAGTCCCAGGCCAGCCAGGGCTACACAGGGATGCGAGCGTGTGAGAGC